TAAATATATTAAAATTTAATTTTTGATTAGTAATATGCATTGCTAAGAACTTCATTTGGACAACTTTAAAGGCGATTTCTCAATATTTAGATTTTTTTTGCACCCGCAGATTCCAGATTTTCAAATAGTTGTATCTCGGCCAAATATTGTCCTATCCTAACAAACCATACATCAATGGAAATCTTATTTATTCAGCTTTCATATGATGTATAAATCTAATTTTTGAAAAATGGACCCTTATGACTGGTTTTGTGGTCCAGGGTCACAAATTTTAATTCTGAATAATAAATATGTCATGGCTAATATTAAATTGCACTCTCAGGATAAAAGGTACAAAACTGTCACTGGGGCGATACCATCTAGAGGTAAATAAGTTACAAAGATGCACCTTTTAGCTTTTGTACCTTACGATACCACCCCAGTGACAAATTTGTACCTTTTTTTCTGAGAGTGTAGTATTCAGCAATATTTTGGAAACATTAGTATGTTATTTATTTATTTATTCATTTATTTTAATAATTAGTGCAAATTTCTATGGAAGCCCATTTCAGCCATGGGACAAAAAAAGGTACTTGCAATCTCACAAATATGAGTTTACATATCACATTTCTGATTTTATTTTATTTTTTCTTGGAATTCTGAGTTTACATTTAACAATTCTGAGTTATTTTTCTCTCTGAATTCTGAGTTACAGGGTTTTATATTTTTCACCACGGAATAAAAAAAGTTAACTACGGCTTTTTATCTTATGATTCTGAGTTTACATCTCGCAATTTTGAGAAAAAAAAAAATCTCAGAATTGCAAGAGAAAAAGTTTGAATTGTGAGATTCAAGTCAAAATCTTTTTTTTTATTTTTTTTTTTATCCCCTGGTGGAAACAAGCTTCTAGACATTTCTGTTAACATGATCAAAACACTCTGCATAATGCAATAGATTAAATAAACATCATTCAGGCTTTAATCACTGCAATATTTGTGCTCTTGATTGCATCAATTGGCCTGTAATGGCTATTGAACAATAACTAGGTCTATCTGAAACAGTGTCTATTGATTGGTTAAGTGATATTAATGAGATGGCAGAGATCTTGCGGCCTCGTTTGATTGTTTGTACCTTTACAGTAGAGCTCTCCATCTTTATCCGTCACTGTGGTGGATTCCAGGCTCTTCCCACACAGTAAACAGCGGAAGCAGGTTTTGTGCCAGGGCTGTTGGATCAGAACCAGTCACAGTCTGATAAATTACTACACAGCGCTGCGGCTGACCTGTGACAGCAGCATATTGCAGAAGTGCTGAGAAGGGAAGACTTTCTCAAAATATGCTTATATTTGTGTTTGAATTGTTTAATTTTAATACATTTCATATCATAACACAGTATAATGTGTCAAAACTCTCGAGTCGGCTTCTTGCTTTAATTTTAGCTGCAGTTTTACCTTTCCAGCACCCATGACTTTCTCTGCTGCATAAACGGCTTTGGAGCAGCGAGGACAGCGATCCGTACTCCCAAACTTCTGTGCAAACTTGCTTGGGTTTGAGTTAGCAGATGCAGGATGGGGAGCTTTGGGCCTTAACATGTTAAAAGCATACACATAAGAATCACAAAACAACAATTACAAAAAAATATATATATGAAAAACTCTAAATTATTTTTCTAAATACTATTAAAGTGATACTCTATCTTTAAAGGAATAGTTCACCCAAAAATGAAAACTTGCTGAAAATGTACTCACCCTCAGGGCATCCAAGATGTAGATGAGCTTGTTTCTTCATCAGAACAGATTTTGAGAAATGTAGCATTACATTACATGCTCGCCGTTTGATCCTCTGCAGTGAATGGGTGCCGTCAGAATGAGAGTCCAAACAGCTGATAAAAACATCACAATAATCCACACCACTCCAGTCCATCTGTTAATGTCTTGTGGAGTGAAAAGCTGTGTTTGTAAGAAACAAGTCCATCATTAAGGGTTTTTAACTTTAAACCATTGCTTCTGGCTAATTTAAGAGTCCTCTAATATTGCTTTTTCCAATGAAAAAGTCATCTCCTCTAAATCAGGAGAGAAATATGCACAGATCAAGCACGGGTTACAAGCGAAAACAGTTCTAAACATGTTATTATGTATTATTGGCCCAAGTAATGTTTAAAGGTAAAATGCCTGATGGATTTTTTTTTTTTTTT